CTCCGGCTGGGGAGGCTCGGCAGGAAGCAGCGACTTAAATTGACATGTGGGGACGGGGGAATGGGGGAAGGGAGATGATGAAATAGTATAAAGAGGAAAAGCTGAATGCACTGGAAGTTTTGCATCTCGAGTGTAATTGGAGTGGGGTCCAGCAATCTGCCCTCCGGAAAATGTTTGAAGAGCAGATGTAATTTGGTAGCATTAGAGTACCAAAAGAAACATGACACCCTTTGCTGTCTTCTCCCTATGAAGACAAAGGTCGTTTTAGCTTTAATTTCCACTTTTCTTACCTTGTCCCAGTAGCACTGTCTATTGTAACTTTATCCCATAAGGCATCTTTATGCAAACTGACTCTCAAAGCAAACAAGCAAGCAAACCAGACATTGCAATACACACTGTACAGCAAACCCAGGGTCTAATCCTGGAACCTGCCCAAGGCAAAACTTCATTGACCTAAGTAGAAATTTGATGTGAGTTGGGATTGTGGTATTTGGGTCTTGCTGGCTGTTACAAGAATGAACATTTCACTTCAGACTTGAAGCAAAGACTTTCAGGTTGTAGGTAAGATGGAGAAAGGTGACATGAAATAAACCCAAACATATTCCCAAAGAGCAGAAAACAAGGTAAGTGATAAGGAACAAAGGTTGTACAAGACAAGGATTTTAAATTATCACTGAGAATACTCCACTCAGCTGAGGACTTGTCTGGGTGACTCACGTAGCTGGGAAGAGGCAGAAAAATAGGGGGGAAAGGCTGTGAGGGAACAAAGAGCAAACCCAGACTGGTGAATTTTCTTGGTGATAACAGAAGCCAAAGGTGTAAGGAAAAAAATATCCTTAGACAACACACCAGAGTGCTTTAGTGTTTAATTTCATACAGACATTAATTTTCACTTCCTTGAATCATTTGGAATATATAGTCTCACTGGCTACGATGAGCTTTCCTATTTACTTTACTTTCTGAAAGCCAAAGGTAGAAGCTGACAACATTTTGCTTACCTGTCTGTGTACACCTTGCATTTAACAAAGTGACAGCAAAAAAGTGAGAATGTATTTGGTCACTGAAGAGAACCTGGTGCCTGCCCAGGGCGATATCAGGCACTGCTACAGTAAGGTCTTAGCATTTGTTTTAAACCACGCTTGAATGAGGTCCAACAACTGCAGTGTTATATTTCATTTCAGCTTTGTTTATTAGCATTAAGATGAACTAAAATGTGTACATTACAGATAGAGTTTGGAGTGGTTTGGTGCCATTCTGTGATATTTATCTGTCCCTTAAATAAGATATATGCAGTAGGCATATAGTTAATTTCTTTAGCATCAGCATTAGGGCAATTAGGGAGGGAATTCTGCCCCAAGAGAGACCTTGGATAAATCCTGCCCTCTTTTCAGTGCACATTGGCAAGTACAGGAGCCCAGCAGCAGCAAATGGTGGGATGGGCTGAGGACATTATGTGCTGACATCTCCCTTCCTAGCACTGTCTGCGCTGAAGAACATGAAGCTTGAGGTTCTTGCCAGCTGCACATACAAGGTGTAAAGAAAGCTTTGCTGACCCTGATTATACAGTGACTTAAAGCAGTATAAAGATTAAAAGTTAGCATTTGTTTTTTGGTTTTCTATATTCAAAACAAATTAAGTCTGCGAAGTCTTGCACTTTATTTTTCTGGAGAAGGGATTGTTACTCTGCAGCTTAGTTGTTTTCCTTCGATATTAACACCTTTGAGAGATGCTGAAGCTCCTAACAGATAAATTAGCACTATCTAGTGCAGATGAAGAAAGCAAATGAAGAAGCACAAGGAAGTGAAACGACTCCCCCAGTGCCAGACACTGAGTGTGTAGCTGGACTGCTGGAAATAGCCCAGCAGTCCCCAGCTTGTTCAACATCACCTTGTGACTTAAATCAGCTCCAAATCTCTTCTAAGCTTCATGGAAAAAAAATCAGTGTCAGTTTTATTCTTACACTTGCTTCTTCCAAGTATTCATACAGCCTAATAAGCAAGACCTACTATGTTTAAAGGTCTCAGATTACATGTGTTTATTCCCAGAGCTGTATGTAGCAGCCTGTATACTTAGGCACACCAAAGACATGGTCAAGCTCCAAACGTGTTAGCACTTACTGCAACACAGTGATGCTGGAGTTACATTTCCTATGGTAAATGTCTCAAGATCCCATTTTTCCATGTCTTCTGTCTCCTTCTCAACCACAGCCTATCCCTGATTTCTCATCTCTTCAAGTAAACCCAAGGATTACTGAATTAATTAAGTACAAAATAATTCTTTCAAGATATCACTTCTTGCCCTTCTGACATGATTACAAGCTCCTTTTCCAGTAGTTTTTTTTCTGTCCTTTCATGATCTGACTTGCTCCTCTGTCACTCCAGCTTGCAGCTGCTGAGTTCCAGCTCCGCTTTAGGGCATAAAACAGAAGCTACTCTTGAACAGTGTAAGAGCTGAGGAAAATGGTTCCTACCTGTGATTTTCCTTCTAGAAAATACAGAGGAGAAAGCAATGATTAGTATATTGCCAGAGCCTAAAAACAAAGAAAAAAAAAAAAGTAAGAATTGGAAGATAAATGTGTGAAATGGGAATGTGAGGACTGAGTGTTGGACCCTGAGCCTTATCCCATTGCAGTCAGTAGGAGCTTTAGCTTTGACTTGAGTAGGAGCAGAATGGGACCCATACAAGTTTTCCTGGAATAGTCCCAGTATTAGGAATCTTTGGCAGAAGAACCACACTGCTATTGAGTTCCCTTTGGAGAATGGATTTTCCCTGCACACCACAATATATGGTGTTAGGCTATGTACCAAAGCTGCTGGAACTGAGTTCAGCAAAATCATGCAGAATTCTACCTGCTGCAGCCGAAAAAAGTTTAACACATTGCTCCTGTTGAAGAAAGTTACCAAGCTATCAACTGTGATTAAGAAATACAAGAAATGGAAAGGATTACAGCATATCTTCAACAACAGCTGGCTAAAATTGAAGAAAGGGGGGTTCCAGGTCTGAGACCATTAGATGTGTCTGTTCTTTGTAGGAAGTGAATGAAATCGTAATGACAAGCATCTGCCTTCTCTCTCTAGTTATGTCTGTTACCTTCTGAGAGAAGGAATTAGTGAGAAGCAGTGTTCCCCAGTTTTGAATACACCAAAAATCTGGAAATGCCTTTAAAGAGCACAGCT